CTATCAGCACCATCACATAGCTGAAATTTCCCTAGGCTGTGGCCATAGCAAAGCTACATAGAGTGTCGCATGGACCAAGAAAGGAAGAGTCTGACAGTTCAAGCGCAGATGGAGCCACAGCGTACCTGCAGTAGGCATCCATTGATTTTCCCTTCTCTAGTGGATTGCTTCAGCCAGTTCAAAGCTAGAGGGCAGTACTGCATGGACAGACAAGTGGAGGCTGTTCTTGGGTTAAACATGTGGAGAACATGTGCAGCTGTGAGGCGCGGGTGTGTGTGTGTGTGTGTGTGTGTGCACATGCACTCATGCCACCATCATCTCTTGGCTGGACCATTGCCATTGGCTCCTGACTGGCCTCCCCGCTTCTGATCTTGCCTGCTTCAGTCTAGCCTCAACACGGCAGGCAGAGTGCTTCTTCTAGAACACAGGTCACTCCTCTGCCCAAAGCTCTCATCGCATCCTGAGCAAAAGCCAAAGTCCGTACAGCAGCCTACGAGGCCTGAGCTGGTCCAGTCCCCTGCAGCTGTCCTGGTCTCCTAGCTCTCCCCATCACTCACGCATCTATGGCACAGGCCTCCTTGCTATTATTCGAACTGCCAAGCATGCTCTCACCTCGAGCCTTTGCATTTGCTGCTTCCTGCATGGAAGACTCTTCCCAAGATAGCCTCATGCTTTGCTTTACTTCTTCAAATGCCACCAAGTAGGTGCGCCCCACTCTAACCACACAACATACAATAAGAACCCCTCCACCCCCTGGCCTGGCACTCTATCCTCTTGATTATTTTTTTTATAATTATTTTATTTAACTTTATTTAATCACTTATTTTTAAATCTGACCTGAGAGGGACAGAGTGAGAGAGCGAGAGAGAGAGTGAGGGAAAGTGAGAAAGAAAGCCACCAGGTCCAGGACTTGAACCGTGGTCGGCCATGTGGGAGTCCAGAGCTCCTAACCACCATGCCACCTGCTGCCCCCACTCCTTGATTTTTTTCTATAGTTCTTATTATCAGACATGTACATGCTTATTTGTGTACATATTTCCTACTTTCTGCCACTAGAATGTAAGCTCCAAGAGGACAAGGATTTTGTTTGTCACTACTTTGTCCCAGTGCCTAGAAAAGTGCTTGGCGTGCAGGAAGAGCTTCGTAAGTGCTTACTGAACGACGACGGAATCACTCTTGCCAGGACAACCGCTGTCTGCAGGACCCTGGATGTGAGGCCTTGCTTGAGGGTGGAAGGCAGTGGACCAGCATTGCCCAGAGCACAGCAGATCAAAGAGAGGCCTTGTGCGCAGCCAGTGGGTGGGTCTGTGCGTGCAGTGGGGTGCGGAGTGCAAATGCTTAAAGTTTATTCATTTATTTCTTCCATGGGAAGACAGACAGACAGACAGGGTCCTCATGCTGCGATCCACCCCCAGTCTAAGCCAGCCTGGGTTATGGGTGGGTGACTAGTATGCACAGGAAGGCCCCAGGGAGAGATGGTGGGACCCCCCTCCCACCCCTGTGGGTTCAGCTGTTACTGCTGGTCACCATCTGGCCCAGAACGCACAAGCTGCTCTATGCTAGGGATGAGAGGCATGGGCTGCTCTATCAATAGGTAAGTGGCCCTTGAAACTACCAGGCAAGGGGAATGATTGGCTGGGATTCAGGTCCACGGTCCCCCTGATCTGAGGTGGCCTTGTTAGGTGCTCTGAGAACAGGCAGCAAGGGACCCCCATGAATTCTTCCCTGACACACTCCACTGTCCCGCCAGGACAAGCTGGAGGCAAGTCTTGGTCTCAAGTCTCCAAAAACAATGAGCTCGGAAGTTCTCCCCTCACAGATGTCAGCCCCACACCCCCCACATGTCTCGCAGCAACTGAGTCATGCATCGATGATGTGGTGGGTATGAAGGTTGGGGGGAGCTAAGCCCACTGATTAAGAGCTGAGACATCCTCCCTACTAATCAACAAATTAATAAACTCTTCAATGAGGAGGTGATAATTAATGAACCAATCAGCCTGCCCTGTAATTGGGGAGTGGATAGGAGGGTGGGGTATGATGGATTGTGAGGGTTCCTGAAGACGTGGGTGGCTGGCTCTTGGTCCACACTGCAGGACCACCCAGGATCCTGGGGACTTTGCTGTAAAGGTCAGTGGAGAAGTGACTTCTACAGAGGTGGTGTCCTGAATCTGGGCCATCCCCAGGCCCTCAAGTTTCTCCACTCCCCCCATCCGGCCTGGGACCCCCCCCGCCAAGCCTTGGGGTGATCCAGGGATGTCATTCCTCGTGGGCATCTCACAAACTCATTCATCTCTTTTGGGCCTAGCTCAGTGCACTGGAACCCCCCATCACCACTCTGGTTAGTGTTTCAGGGTCAGGTGAGCAACAGCCCCTAACTCTCTGGTCTCCTTTCCTATTAGCCTGAAGGGTCTCTGACTAGGCCCTGTCCCCTGGGCTCGCCCAGGTCCCAGCTGCCTTCTCCATCCCTAGGCGAACACCTGTCTTCTGTCTTTCCAAAGAGGTGGACAATTCTTGGTATTTTTTGTTTTGTTTTGTTTTTTTGTTTTGAGAGGGAGGGTTTTGCTATAGGGCACGTGTACTCACCAGAAAGACAGAGAGACAGAAAGCTAGAGATCACCCCCCGGGGGGATGGCCAAATGCCAATCCCTTCTCCTCCACTCTCCTCTTGGGATCTTGGGCAGACATGCACATGCACCTGACGTGAGTTTAAGCCACTGGGATTTGAGCCACTGTCGGCTATATGGGAACCCAGCGCCGTAGCCATTACGCCAACTGCTGGTCTTTCTTTTTTTTTTTAAAGAATTATTTTATTTAACTTTATTTGTTTATTTTAATTTGACCAGAGAGGGACAGAGTGTGTGTGTGAGAGAGAGAGGTAGAGAGGGAAAGTGAGAAACCAAGCTGCCAGGTCCAGGACTCAAACCACGGTCAGCCATGTGGGAGTCAGCGCCCTTAACTACCACGCCACCTGCTGGCCCTCCTGCTTGGTTTTAAACACACACTGAATTTTCAGGAATTCAAGTATCCCATAGCTATGGACTGGGCATTTGCGTTTATTTTATTTAACTTTATTTATTTATTTTAATTTGACCGGGGTTGGGGAGTGAGAAAGCAAAGCAGTTCTTGTACTTCTGCTGTCTCTCTCCAAGCTGGATTCAGGCTTGTCTGTCTCTATGTTCTGGGAACCTGTCAGACTGGGGATCTCCAAGAATAGTGGAGTGAACCGCCTTCCCCTTTAAGCTGGGGCTCCCAGAGACACTACTGTGCCTGTCCCTCAGGCAGGGGAGCCCCAAGGATACGGCCAAGCCTCTCCTCTGAGACTGGGGTTCCTGCAGCTAGGGAACTGCCTGCCCACCAAATGGGGACAATGGAGAACAATTTCTCTCCTTCCTCCAAGGGTAGGGCTCACGTCCCTCTGTCCCGGTTTCCTCCTCCACGTCCATGCTCAGGAGGCGCCCTGGTGTTCCTTGGGATGTGCAGGGCCCACGGGCCTGACTGGTTGATAAGGAGCTGTTTCCGGAAAGTGCAGGTGATTGAACCCATAAAAAGGTAATCGAGGGAGCCCTGGACTCTTCATCTCAGGAGAGCTCTAAAAATAGTGCTCGCAGCCATCTGTTCTGGAGGGTGGAAGGGTTGGCCTAGAATCAGTGGCCTGGGCAAGATGGTCCCTCCTGCCCCATGGATTGATGGGACGTGTTGAAACACTGGAGACTCTGGCTAGGCAGAGAGGGGGAGCTGGAAAGGGATCTGTGGGAGAGACTCCCCCAGGCTCTCTCTCTTCCTGGTGGGGGCTGATGGATGGGGTTGTAGTCTGGAGGCCCTTCACGCAGTCCGGCCTCTCAGAGCGTGGGTGGTGGGCCCCAGACTTGGCCTCCTGTCCCTGGCTCCCATGCCTGACTCCTGAGCCCCATCGTTATCCCAGGGGCTGAGCCTTTCCATCCCTCATGATAGAGGAGCTCTTTTTGGGGTCTGCCCCACTCTTTTTCTCCTGGGTGACCTTAGCTGTTCCAACAGCTCTCAGAGCGTCAGTTTCCTCATCTGGAAAATAGGGACAAGCTCAGCTCATTGCATCCTTGTGCCTGAACTCAGCACACAGCCGGTGCTTCATAAACAATCCTCTCCTTTCCCTCCAAGGCACTGGCTGAGGGTCTTGGCCCCGGAGCTCAGTGGAGCCTGTAATGCGCTGCGGACCTTGGCATGACGGTGCCCAAAGGGCTTGGGCAGCACCGGCCCAGCCCAGAAGACACCCATGCTCTGAACGGCATCCGGTGGGGCTGGGCACTCTGCTTTGGGAGGAGGCTCCATGCCAGGCCAGGCTGGACACACAGTGGCCCACTCAGCTGCTTCCGTGGAGCGGTGGCTTGTGCCACCTCTGCCCCTCTGCCCACTCTTTAATGGAGAGAGGACACAATGCACATCCAGACATCCTCTTCCCCAGGACACCATAAATAGCAGCCAGAAGTCAAGGCCACATGCACCCACCCAGCCTCCGGCAGAAAGAGACTGTCCCCACAGGGCCTCTCACTCCTCAGCCCTTCTCCAAGGTATTACTGAGCAAAGGATGGAAAAGGTTGTCTTCTGGAAGGAGCAGTCACAGGGCCACAGGCTGGAGGAAAGGTGTCCTCCCTCCCGCCCCATTCCCACTCATGGACAAGCCAGGGAAGACAATCTCATCTCTGGCTCTAGGGGCTGTCTGGGGAGTCTAGATGCAAACACTCCACTTCTCCAGGAGGCTTGACCTACCACTGGGGTGATGTGGGGTGAACGTCCCCTCCTATGGGACCCTGAGCCTGAGTGCCGTGTCTGCCCCCCTCAGCTTCTGTGAGGTGGAGACATCACGCACTGGCTAGGTGTGAACTCAGCAATCCATCCTAGGGTGGAGGAGGGAGGAGGAAGGGCCCTCCCCCTGCTGGCTCCCCCTCCCCTTTGGACTCCCCCTCCCTTTCAACGCTGGGATATAAGCCTGGCAGAGAAAGCGCTGAGCAGAGGCCAGAGGCCACAGTGGACCTGCAGCAACCCTGCCCTTGGCCTCCCCTGCCTTCCACCTCCTGCTCATCCGCGTTTGGCAGCTGTCACGGTGAGTGACTGAGTGGCGGGGCGCAGGTGTGGCCTGGTACTGGGGCGCCCAGGCTACTTCGTGGGTAAACTGAGGGTGGGATGGCAGAACAGAAGGTGGAGCTGAGCGGTGGGAGGCCGCATCGGAAAGGGGCCAGCTGGGCGGGGGAAGGAGACGCCTGGGAACCCCGGGCCCGCGTAGCTCTCTTGCTCCGTCCATCTCCCCGAGCCCAAGCCGAGCCGCAGCGGGGGTGGGGAGAAAGGCAGGGCTTAGGCTCCTCCGCCAGATGAGGAAACTGAGGCCAGGGACGGAGCAGTGCCCAAGAACGCAGAGAGCCAGGCTGAGCCTTGGTCCAATACCGGCCCCAGCCAGGCCACCCAAGAGAGTGGTCCAGGCGGAAGCCGCAGCTCCTGCCGTCGGGGGCCCAGGCTGGGAATGACCCGCACTCCGATGTCCCGCTGGCAGATGGTGACAGTGCGCAGGCCGCGGCCCGCTGTGGCCGCGGTGCTTCTGGCCCTGCTCGGCTGCCTGGGGGTGCTGGTCGACGCCTACCCCTCCAAACCCGAGGCTCCCGGCAAAGACGCCTCCCCCGAGGAGCTGAGCCGCTACTACGCCTCCCTGCGCCACTACCTCAACCTGGTCACCCGGCAGCGGTGAGCGCAGGCGCGGGGTGAAGAAGCGGCCTCACGGGCTCACGCCCCGCCCCGGGGCAGGGCCCGGCTGACCACGCCCCTGTGATCCCGCCCCTCAGGTATGGGAAACGCGACAGCCCGGAACCTCTCTCCAAACTGCTCTTCCCCGACGGCGAGGACCGTCCCGTCAGGTCGCGGTAAAAGCACGCCCCTGCCACACGTGCCCGCTGACGCATGGCCTGGCCCTGCTGCCCCACGCAACCTCCACCCTGGCACCACCACTTACGACTTACCCCCTGCTCGCCTCCCCAGCTCCGATTCTTCTCCTTTTCCTCCTCCAGGTCCGAAGGCGCCTCCACGTGGTGACGACCCCAAGGCCCCCTGGGATATATGCTAACTACACTGACCTCATCTGCATATTTGCTTCTGATCCCGGAACCCGGATTCCTCTCCTGGCCCTCTGAGCCTGGGAACGGTTGGGGTGGGGCCCTCCACCCATTGCTCTGTGCCCTCGCCCTCTGGGCTGGAGATCTGTGTGTGGTCCTTCCCTGGTCTCAAAATAAAGAGCAAATTTCATCGCTACGGAGTGAGTGCGTTTGTATTTCCTTTCCTTTCTCCTAACTGGAAGTGGCACCAGATGGAAGTGGCAGGTGAGGGCTCAAGAGCCGAGAGAATAAGAGACTGGGCGCCTGAGTCCAAAGGCGCCCAGGACAAGGCTGTGGCAGTGCAGAGCGGGGCGGGGTAGGGTGGGGGTCCCCTCTGCTCAGAGGTAAGAGAAGACACTACCGCCCACCCTGGGGCTGGACAGCGCCCAGACCAGTGATACCAGGTGGACGGAACTCTGATTGGTGGGGGGCAGGTGTGGGGTGGGTGAGGGTGATTGAATAAAGAGCAGCTGGAGGATGAGGAGTGCAAAGGGGCAGGCTTGGCAACCCAGGAGAGATGGGGACAGAGCTGCCCTACCCCACCCCTGCCAAGATGACTAACTCCCCGGGGGATTACCCTGCAGAACTGAATTTCTAGTCCCTAGGGCTGCGGTGGCTGGAGGTAGGGATGAGCTCCAAGATGAGGCTGTGAGGGAAGAGCCAGGGGGGGTGTGAGGTGGCTGTGTGGAAGAGGTAGATCATTTTAAAGGTCCCCATCCCCGAGGAGGAGGAGCAACGGAAGTGTGGAGTTGCCCTTTCCCTCAGCAAATGCCCTGGTCCACCTCGCTGGATCCATTCACCGTGGTTAAATCACAAACTGCTCCTTCCTGGTGACAAGGCCAGGGAGACACCCTCCTGTGTATCTCCACCCGCTCTGGACTAGGCACTGAAGTCTAAAGGCACTGTAAATGTTTAGACTGCAACCTAACCTGAATTTCTCACCACTCTTCCTCTATCCCAGGGAGCCTGCAGTCTGGTCTCTAGTACACTTCCTTCCCAGGCCCTTTCCTCCAGGAAGCCTGCCTCGATTTTCCCCCAACCTGTCTTCTTCCTGTCCTCTCCGGTTGCCCCGCTTTCATGGCCATTGCTCTGTCCAGAGTTCTGACCATGTCCTGTTTCCCTTCTAGGTCTGGGGACTCCTGAAAGATGGGCCTATGTCTCCTCCTCCCTCAGTCTGTGGGCTCTCTCCTGGGCCTCTA